GGTTCAGAGTAATTCAGTCCCCTATTAACCCAGGTACCAACAAGACAGCATTTGAGAAACACTCCTATCTCATATTATAGAAGGGGTATGTTTTCCATTAAATCAAAAGGACCAAATTTATGGCATGTCCAAAATAGAAATTGATGCATCATGGCTATTCTTGCCTTTTGGAATTGGAATTTAAATCAACATGTATTATCACTATTATGTAATTGTATACTATTTTCTACTATTTAAGTGCAATGAGCAACCAAATAAATCTACAGAATTCTAGAGGAAAACACTATTTGGTTCTACTCATTAGATAAGCTAACAGGGTAATAAAAACCAAGTTATGAGTTAAAATTAAATTTGCACCAGAAAGCATTCAACTTGGAATGGTCTCTTTTCCCTAGGTAAAGAGAAGAATGAAAATAAAAGGTTGAAAAATTTCACTCTTAATTTCCCTTTTATACCCTAAAATTTCCAATGACCAGAGAACTCTTGTCAAATGTGGTCAAAAGAATGATTTAAATTCTTTATTTCATTTACTAAATCAAAATTTTCACACACAAGGGAAGAAACAGCCAGTTGCTGGTAAGCCCAGGCCCCAAAGCCGGGTCCCGCCATGACTTCGCCTCAGCTTGGAGAGGACGAGTCCACAGGGGTCCTCCACCAGCCTTCTAAGCAGTTCTGCTCCCACTTAAGTAACTCAAGAAACAAGAAACGGGGGTTGAGAGAACGGACACTGAAGGGGAGTCCGAATTTACTAGCATCTTTCAATGTTGCTGAGGCCCCATGAGATCTACAGGTCTACAAGATAGCTCCTGAAATCACTGATGAAGACAGAGTCCACCCATAAGCTACTCATAAGAACAAAACTAACTTCAGCTAAGCAACCAGGTATTTTGATCATAGCTTCTGACTGACAAGTTTGTTTTTCTAGATAGCTTCGCAGGTGAAATACAGACCCCGTCCAAGACCACTGCGTCTCTGGAGGTGAGTCTACAGGTTAAACTCCGTTTGGATCTTTGCTTGCTGGCTGAGAAGATTCGGGTGTTGCTAAACTGGAAAATTAATTTTTGGAGCTAGAAGGGAATTACCCTCAGGGCTACCTAATATGCCTCACTCAGATTTTTAGCTAGTTGACAGCCCTGGGTTCGGTTTTAAATTACATTTCTTTTCCTCTCTAAGAAGGACATTGGAGAGGAAGATAACTAATTCATTCTTCCAAAAGGCAATGACTAAACGTTGGGGGGGGGGGAGGGGTGGGGGAGGCTTGGTTCCAGGTCTTCTCAAAAAGGAAACTCAGAGCTTTGCTGCTCCGCTGCACCGATCCCTACTGCCGCCCAACAGCAGGAGGGGTTATGGTGTGCTAAGCTGAACGTGGGTAATCCCAAGTAATCCTCGCGGTGACGGCATGCTGCCCAGGCTATTATTAACCTCATGTACAGATAAGGAAACTGAGGCTTAGAGAGGCGAACCACTGGCTAAAGGTCACCCAGCTTTACTTGGTTAGAGTAAGCCTTGCAATTTGTAACAGGGAGGCCAGGACTCAACCCAGATCCAACTGTCATCATTCTGGCATCTCCTGCTTATGGAACTGCCAATGGGGAGTTGATTATTTATAGCTCCTCCCCTGCAAATGAGACCCAAAGCAGGAGAAAGAAGAACTTCCTACTTACTACACTGAGGTCTGCCTTTTAAAGAAAAAACTTGTAGGCTGGAGAACAGAGATCAGTCCTACCCATTCCTAAGAGCCAAAAGAAAGTGGGAGAAAAAAACAGCTTCAGACAAGTGAGGACTCACTCATAAGCTTTCCTTAAATTCTGGTATTAAGGCTCTTAGAAAATTTTTAGAACTTTTATGTGATAGTGACTCACTTTAATGACAAAAGTTGGCAATATCTTAGTCTAATGTCTGGGACTTCGGAAGTAGTCGTATATGATTGCAACAAGCACATCGTTAAAATATACATTGGCTGTAACTCTAAAAAATGTTTTTGTGAAATCTAACAGGAAAATGTTTTTTTCTGTGATTGTTTCCTGCGATATGTAGACACGTTTCAAGTGCTTCTGAACTACAATTATGCAACTCATTTCCAAAAAAAAAGGTCTTGCAGGGACGCCTGGGTGGCTCAGTCAGTTGAGCATCCGACTTCGGCTCAGGTCATGATCTCAAGGTCTGTGAGTTCGAGCCCTGTGTCGGGCTCTGTGCTGACAGCTCAGAGCCTGGAGCCTGCTTCGGATTCTGTGTCTCCCTCTCTCTCTGCCCCTCCCCGGCTCACGCTCTGGCTCTCTGTCAAAAATAAATAAACATTAAAGAAAAATTATAAAAAATAAAAAAATTTAAAAAATAAAAAAAAGTCTTGCAGTTAAAACTAAATGTATTTAATAACTGCCATTCAGTATTATACGTGTGTTTTTAAATTTTAGAAGATGGGGTACACTAGCCACAAGCAATAAATATTAAGCAGGTACACTAATGAGCATGTGGGGGCTAAATTAAAAACAGACTTCTCAAAGTATGTGAATTTACCTCTTGTTCCTGTCAAACTCCAAAAAAAATCCTTTCAGCTACCGTCCTGTAGCTTATGTACTAGTCTTCAGGGAATGTTTTTCTTTTTTTTCTAAATACAATCATTTAATTTTTAAATAAAAACGTTTTAAAATAAATTCTAATGCCACAGCTGCCGTTTTGGCAGTGAGACTGTCACACAGAGAGCCGGTGTTAAAAGATCAGATTAAGAGCCTTCAGTCCTGGCACCGACGCTCGCAGCCATGCAAGAGTGATTTTCCATGCCTCTGAAGAGACAGGAAATAGAATTCATCTTCCTCTAATAACCTGCCTCTTCCCCTCCCTCCAGATTACGGTCCATCTGGCCTCGGGACAGAAGCGAGGAGTCTGATGCTCGCAGAATGCCCAGAAGATGAGACAAGGTGGGCAATGTTCAGACACAAAACATCAGAGAGGCCTGGGTTAGACAGGAACAAACGTGTCTGTGGCCCACACATGAAAAGATAGACACACACCGTAAGGAACTGAAAAGAGAGGAGCCAATTAAGTCCAAAGTAAGCAAAAGAAAAGATATACACAGAATTAGGATTCAGAAAATTATGACACACGTCATTCATTACACACAAGTCAAGGATTTCAACCAAGAAATGTGAAAAGTTTCAGGGAAATAAACAGTAAGTGGTGAGATCATGATGCTGTCTCCCCAGCTAAAGCAGAGAAAAGGAGTTGTGAGTAGCTCCCCATGGCTTTCCTCTGCAGGGTCCCACTTCCTTGGCCAAGTGATTCCAGCCCAGTCTTGCTCAGAACCACTACAATTACACACTCCCTTCCTGCTGGGTCCGCTCACACAAACAACGTAACTCATATGGGAAAGCAACCTATTTGCAAATGAGCTCCACCAACACCCCCACGACCTCCTTCCACGGCCGTGTATAAGCCCACAGATCCTGCAAAAAGGCCTCGGGAATAAGCTCTACCAGTGATTCTATATGGGGGTGTATGCCTGCAAAGGCCTCAAGTCTAATAGTACCTCAGGGATAGTTCAAACTCTCCCTTCTACCTTGGGGTGGAAGACCTCAGCGTGGCTACAGCTCTGTGGGTTACACATCCTTCTCCTCCCCCACCAGGAGGCAGAGTGGCCTCCCGCACTGGTCTGACTCTGCTTCCTAAAGAAATGCAAACAGCCCTCTTGACTCTGCCTCCCACTCCACCCAATCCAGTCACAAAAGCAAATCCTGAGAAGAAATAGGTAAACGGGGATATAGCGGGCAGTGGTTTTGTGGTCACAGCGAAAGGGGGAGAAAGACAACTCATCCTTTGTTGTTTGTGGTCCAGCAGAGCATTTGAAATCAGGATATTAACTCGGGTCCACGGTTTGTGAACGTGAGCACCTCCGTGGGATATGTATCCGATGAAAGGTACCCATGGTTACCGAGGTCTAACCTAGTTCAAACCAAGTAAGAAGTCGCAGAGGAATCCACGTATGTATGATACACGCCCATGCGCAAATGCCCGCTGCACGCTAACATCAGCACGTGCCCACTGGTGGGCAGGCAGAGGGACCGCTCTCCTGGACAGCAACGCCACAACACATCCGGAGAAGTGAAGGGTGGGACAGTGCTCCTAGCCCACGGCACAAAGCTCAGTGGCTGCGAGACATGCAGACAGTCCATGAGGTAGCTCCTTGCCTTCTGATGGCTGAGCTGACCCGAGCAGATGAAGGATTCAGTAATCCCGAAGCGAAAGTGATCTCTTTCTAGCACTTTCACCTCAACTTTGCTAACTACCAAAAGCCAGCGAGCAAACCAGAGGAGGGGAAAAAAGCCACAAGGAAGCCACCGCGCACTAGAAATGCACCTTCTTGTTCCCACACAAGCGTGTCTGCGGACAGCGTGCACTTCCACGGTGGTGAGCGAGAGGAAGCGTGTGAGCCATCCAACAGGACGTGGCCATGCATGAAGGCTGTGGTACCCAGAGCACGGAGCCCATGGAGCCCATCCCGTGCGTCTTTTTCCAAGTGCACACACGTTGCTAAGACTTCATCGGGTAAGAAGTAACTTTTGTAAAGCAGCCGGCCAAAAGTTACATTAGTTTGTCTGCTACGGAAAGCACTTTCTACGGACAGGTCTTCCGCCGGCTCTTAATGCCCGGTGACAAAAATGTAGGACAAGCCCTTCTGGGCGATTTTTCAATCTACCCTATTAGATGCCATTATGAAAACCAGTCATAATTCTGAGCAACACTATATCGTCCAATGACAGCAACACATTTTAACAATTGGATTTTGCTTCACACATTAGAAAATGTTCCATTATATGAACACAATTATATTCCACTGAATGTTAATAAGATGTAGAAGTTGGAATGTGAACACTGTATCTTAGAAATGTGCCATACAAACACCAAGAGACTGACAAGGCCAAAGAGACAGTTCCACAATCTCTTTTCTGCAAAACCACTAAAATGGCACCTTCTAGCCCAGCGCCTCAAACCAACTGCCTTACCTCTTGGGACAGGAAGGGAATGACTTGTGCACAGATAGCATTCAGCCTCTTGACAATCTCTGCCTGTATAAAAATAAAAATAAAAAATAAAATAAAAAGGAAAGGAAAGCAATAAACAGAACAGTCAGCTGGTTACACATTCCCAAAATATTAACAGGATGATATTAAAACACACTTTATATTCTGCCTGGCGTATTTCCTAAGGAAGAGGACAACTCTCATCAGCCAGCCCATTAAAAGGAGGCAGTGACAACAGTGCCACATTAATAGCACGATTTATTAACCAGCATTCATCTTAAAAAGTCAACCTTCAAGCACCAGGACAACATAAAAAGGAATTTGATTTTCATGACTGGGAATCAGTTTTCAAAAGTCTTCAATAAGACCCTTGTTCATTCTGATGTGTTTATTCATAAAACCTTGAGTTTTTAGAGTTTTGATAGTAAAGATACATTCTTCCCTCCATCCCAATTTCTCTCAGTTAGTAACTCATTGGATTTCTACAGCTGTGGTCTTTGCTTCAAGTCCCCAACCTCCCAAAAGAATAGCACCCAACCAAGTCAGGTAAGTTGATTAATTCAGATCCTTAGTTATAAATTGTTGGGAAATAGTGTATTTTCGCCAATCATGAAAATTTCCAAATGTGTCCCGCCGCCTGGGCTTTCACTGTGCAGAAGTGTAGAACACAGTAAAATTTTCCTAGACTTAGGAGAAAGCAATTTGTATGTATATGAAAACTAACCTTGCGAACGTTAATTATTCCTATACTATAGAGCTGTGAAGTTCCAGCAATATCTGGTAATATAGTCTAATCTCTAATAATTTAAGTATAGAAATTTTCTATCAATAGGATACTACAGTAATTACAAAAAAAAAGACACACACACCACCCCCCCGCCAACTTTTCTTTAAAAATTTACCCAGAGCTTCACTCATGTTCATCTTAATTTGTATGATCAGATGGCTCCTTATACACTTCGGTATGGGACATGTAAGCACAGGGTTTTTGTATACACATACATGCAAAATAGCTTATATTTTAATAACGGGGTGGGGTGAAGGACAGGAGAGAAGTGTTGAGAGGCAGAAAATGTAAAGCAATTACTATTCCTGAGACAGTCTTAAAATACATTCCATCCAGGGTCAGTTTCTCATTTTATAAGAGGACAAAAATGCTCTTTTTCTTGCGAAGTCATTACCAGAATGACAGCGACACTCTACTTGTGCAATCTAGGTTTCCTTCTTTCATCAGCAACCCTTTTGACTTTGCAGCTATGCAATCTTTTAAATGCCAGCACCTTAAAAACTCTGCCAGCCAAGAGAAAACACAAATTCACCATGAAGGAAGTTTCAAACCTAAGCTTTCCACCCCAGCCTGCATTCCTAACAGGATGGACAAAAACCCAGCACCAATATGCAGCAGTGAATAAGGACCCAACTGCGCTGACCTGATTTAATTTACTGCACTGGCCCCATGGAGCATTTAGCTACCCTTTAAGAATGCTTAAACCACCATGAAAAGCTGCAATGGGAATCACCAAACCACTCTCCACCTGGACGGACATACCACAGTGGTTATGGGGTGAAATTCCCGTGTGAGCTGAGAAAATAGAGTAGCATTCACCAGACCGAAAGCATTGCATCTCAAAGGCATTTGGTTGTTAAGCTTTTTGTAGGGAGAGGTGGAGGGGGAGAGAATAAAAGATAATGAGACACTTTGGGGCAGACCAAACTGATGATTCTAATGCTTAGAACCATCTGCCAAGCATATTTTCCTCATTATGTTGTTTACATAAATAAAATAGTCCCTTGCTAGGAGGGTTTAAAAATGTGTGGGCACATAAGAAAACTGAGTTCTTTAGTTTGCCTACATAATCTAGGCAATAAAAACTACTCTAAGGAAACCTACCCATCAGGCAAAATAAAGACCAAAAGGTATTTATTTGGCCTCTTCAATTTTGGACCCAGGCTATTTTAAGTCTGAGCAACTTTGGGAGGAAAAACAGCACACTGAGTATTCTTAAGAATAAATTTAAAAAGTTCATTTATTCCCGTATATTTAACATACATAACAGAAAAAGGGGAGGATCTTCCAAACTTTTTCTCTATAGGTCTCCTTTTGTTCAAAAGACTTCTTAATTTCTTTAAGTTGTCATGCCAATGGATTTTTCATGGTCAGGCTAATTGGCAGCGGGGGCGGGGGGGGATGTGTGTGTGATTTCATAAAATTAAGCAGGTCATTCCTCACTTTGAAAGCTAAAGTTGCCTCGGAAACACTGCTGCTTCCATGGTCAACTAATTTTGTCTCTTTTGTCCCACAGGACCCAGCTTTAGGGAGGCATCATTTATTTACAGGCCTTTCCACTGGGCTTCAGTGATCAGCCAATAATACTGTGGACACACACTTCTAATGGCCTGTGTTTTGAAACTGAGTCTAATCTAATGGCGAGGGGCCCAAACTCCTTTTCCAGCACAGCCATTAAAGGATGTAGGTTATTGCTGTTGTCACCATTGATATTTGTCATTGTAATGTAATTAGGGCCCTAAAATGATGCATTACAGCCCTTGGCACAGCTTCTATTAAAATCTTTTCTTCTGCTCACTGAACTGCGACCTGCTTTCTGATGAATAACAGACAGACAGCTTTAGGGTAAGGAGCAGATTCATCAAAGAAGTATTTTTCAGCTTTGGGGAAAGAGAGGGGGAAAAAAAAGGCAACCTACGAGGAAAAGCACTAGGGGAGGAAAAGCCACAATACACATTTGAATTTCATCTGACCACTTGAAATTCTGATTGCGTCTGATGAATCTTGCTTAGACAATATATCCCCAGTCTTCGAATCACATGGTTAATCAGGGCTCTAATCTGCTATCCATCAGCCTACGCCAGGGCTGCAGCTTCCAATCAGATTGATAGGTGATGTGGCTCATGCTTCCCTGAGCAAGTACATTCACAGATAACCCATTTCAACAGGCAAGATTCTGAAATACTGCTGTCAGGGCTGCTGGCTCTGTTCTCGTGGTATTCGAGGCCTTACGGACACTGCCAGACTATTGTCTGTAGATGCCCACGATATTCCAAAATGGCATTAATGGCCCCAGTGAAAGGACGATTGTGCCAAAACAAGACAAAATCATTTGTTTTCACAGCCATAATTTGTGAAATCCATTAATAATCTTTGATACTTCTATATTATGTCTTCCTCTAGCCATCAAGACGGTCATTTAAAAGTAAGTTTTACGTGTATTTTCCTTCTCTCAACTCACTACCATTCTATGAACTGCTCCTGTAATTTCCCACCTTTATGCCACCCTCCAATAAAAAGAACCAACAAATGACCACCCCCCCACACACATGCACACAAAACCAACAAATTGGGCAAAATATTTTAGAAAGGGGCATTCTATAGAAGAAAATACCTTGGCTGCGCACTCAGCACTTGGCACATGAATGCTGACAGTCTAACTAGTTAGTAATGGAACAGAAAAACACAGGCAAAAAGCTTTCATCCCTTTTTCCTTCACACTCCAACTCAGTAACTATCAGAAGATGTATTAACTACCTTGCAACATGGGAAAGCAACATCAGGCATTGAAAAGAATGCCACATTTCAGTCAGTCATTAGATTAAAAAAGTAACAAATCCTGGAGAACACGATATCAAATACATATTTTCTTTATCACTTACAACAAATGACATTAGTCATTTAAGTAAGACAAAAAAACTGGCTAAGCCTACCCTTGAATTGAATTACATCCCCTCAAATAGTTGTAACATGATAAAAATCTAAATTTTTATTTAGATTACTTCCGCCTAGATGATTTCCTTAAAAAAATTAAACAAATTTTATTTTTATGACATAATAAACTTGAAAGAAAGTACTGATAACTTTATTTTAGTAATCAAAGAGATGTATCAGGAGCAATTATTGGCTTAAAAAAACATTTCTTGGAGTTTTAGTCTCTCATCAAAATAGGAGCCAGACTACTACCCAGTACTGTTGAAATAAAACAGAATAACAAAACATTATTAAGAAACCATTTTAGCAGCCCAATCAGAAAACAACAACAAAACACAACCAATTATACTTTCAGAAAAACATTCTTGAAGAATAACATTTCACAATTAATTTGCTTTCTACACAGGTTTCTTCGTCAAAAACATTTTCAAAGGAGACTCCGTTTTTTTTAAGTTTTTATCAGGAACATACATTCACCAATTATATAAAACACTTCTAAAAAGTGATGAAAACGTTCTTCTTATTCCATCTGAAATCCTTTCTGGAGTATATACAAATAATCTTGCAAGCCTCTCCTTCACCCAGAACCAAAGATTGTAATTTTTTATTTCAATCAGAAAATCAATTATCTTCATTTGTTCATTGATCTGTTCCAAATGTTCTAAGAAATGGCCTAACTTCGGGAACTGATCCTGCTTGCCCCTAGATTAAAAAGTCAGAGGACTAATGAGAAAGTCTTTCCGAATGACTAAAAATCCAGACTAAACATAAGGAAAAATACTCAAGTAGGACTATTTCTCTAAACTGACAATCCAGGTTTGATCTTGTCATCAAAACTGAACTTTACATACGAAAGAAAGAACATATAATGGACGAAACTAATTTTATGGATTAAAAAAAGAAAAGCCAGATTGGAATAAGGCATAGAGATCTAGATCAAAGGTGCTGTCCACATTGCTGGCAAGCTGGTAAACTAGACGGCTAAGTTTTATTTTAGTTCACGTACTTATTTTGCACAAAATATTTTATATTGCTTAATATAGCAATAAATGAAGTGATACTGTTATAAGAATCAAGTTAATAAAACATCTATCAGTTTCCATAAAGGGCTGATTCAAACTAAGACTTTTTTTTTTTTTTTTTTTTTTTTTTTTTTGGTGCAAGTATTAAGACTTTTAAAAGCTGTCATCATCCCGCTTCCTCTAATAAGAAAGAGGTACTATCTTGGAGTACTCAATTAGTCTTCCCTTGAACGATATGAAAGTGCCAATATTCAACTAATTTTTAGCCACCACCCAACCTCCGCCTCCCCCAGGGAGTTGAA